GAGGGGGAGGGAGAGAGAATCACTGGTTTGGGAGAATAGTGAACGTTTGGATGCTGAATGCCTTATAATGATATATAATATGTGAGGCAGCGTGGTTAAATCAGGCGCTCGTCAAAATAATGTAATCATGGAAATCGACATCTTTCGGGCCGTTGTCTACGTGTATTTTTTTGTTTTATTTTTCGAATGTTCTTCTTTTTTTTTGGCACAATACCTTCTAATCTATGTAAATTAAAAAATCATTCATGCTTTGAAAGTCACCAAAGTTTGGCGGCCATTTTCTTGGTAATTACCACTGTCACAAGGCTTCCACTACTTCCTTCAGTAGCAAATATCTCGACTTCTATTCAAGATAGATTGGTATTTTTCTCTCCAAATGTAAGACAAATGAACAAGCTTTTAGTTGATACTAGATCTATAAATTAAATTCTACGTGCCCAAAAATTGACGAGCGCCTGATTCCACTGCGTCGTGACACATAAGTTTAAAAGAAACCGCACTCGGTATTCGAATCGAATAGTACAAACAATTACATGCTTCGAAGAGTCGACGTTTCCTCGAATTGCACAGCGCTATGCTTACTGTTTTTCTCCTGTTGTATTGTTCGAATAGATGCACTGGTAAGATAACAGTCACACTAAAACAGTGAGTGGTTGACGGGTGCTCTGGTGTGGTTTGATCCTTCTTTCCTATCAAACATCTATCGTTCGTATCTCCCCTTCTTCTTTTTTAATGTTTGTTACTCTCTTGTAACATCTCCAATCTCTTGGCGCTCATATGACCTTATGCGCCGTAAAACATTTACTAAAACTTTTTTTTAAAAACACCCAAACAAACAAGCTTTTCTACACACAAGCATTTATCATATTCATTTCTATAAACAACCATTTGTCATAATTATATTATCATATATTTCTTTTTAAAAAACCCAAAAAACAAGCATATTTTACTGCATCCATTTCTACAAATATGAATGACACCTCCAGGTATTTCAAGTATTTCTACAAACAATCATTCAAACAACAATTTGTCATAATAATATTATTATTATGATCATATATTTTTACAACAACAAAAAACACAAACATCTACTGCATTCATTTCTACAATAATCGCACCTCCAGGTATTTCAAGCATTTCTAC